CATGGTGCTTTAAACAGCCTGCATTTGGGGGGGGTGATACTTCAGTACTTTAATCAAAGTTCAAAAGTCACAGGTTTGGGAGAAGAGATAATTTAGTCCAAATACAAACCCCCCCCAAAAAAACTGTGAAATGGCTCCAATCCACTCTCCAGAAACTGAAAGCCAGTTTCTGGATACAGTCTCTGGATACATGATTTTGTCAAACAATATTTTGTACTCAAATGTTCAGGATGTTACAAAAATACCAAAAATACGGTGTAGACAGTTAAAGTATGGAAGTTTGAAATTAAAGGTCTTTTCTGTTGCTTGTTCAGGAGATGAACACAGAAAAGCTGACAGCATTTATTAACACTCTAAATGGAAAGGAGGGAACAGGCTCCCACTTGGTCACGGTTCCTCCTGGACCCAGCTTGGCGGACGCACTGCTGTCCTCTCCCATCCTGGCCGGCGAGGGAGGCTCTATGATCGGGCTGGGCGCCAGTGACTTTGAGTTTGGCGTTGACCCCAGCGCTGATCCAGAACTGGCCTTGGTAAGCAGTAGAAACATCTGCCCTGGATGCTAGTTAGCTTAGCATTTAACAACTTTTAATTAGCCCAAAGACACAGAATCAAAATGCCACAACTTTATAGCAACATCTTAATATCTGCACCTGAAATATTCTTAAAAAAGAACAAAAATGCACAGCCTGTTTATTAATCTGAACTGAGAAAAAGACGTAAATCAAGGTGTCCCAGTTTTAAAATGTAGATAAGATGTCAAATAACTAGAAAATTAATTTAAAATTTGTGCAAAAAGCTTTCAAATTAATCGATCTATTATCATAGTTGCGAAATGGAAAGTAAGAAAAGATCCAGATTTTTAGTGGAAAGAAAGTGTTATATATATATTTTTTAACCAAAATTAAAAGTTGTAGAATAAATTTTGCCCCCCTTTATTAATATCTAGTCTTCTCCTATTACATTTTATTGGGTTGGAGCAACTGAAACTTTTTGCCATTCCTCTTCACACAGTGTTGTTTAATTAATTAGTCTGATTCTCTCTGGCTCATCCTTCAGTTATTTTTTTTATGTATGTTTTTGCATTCCAAAATAGTTGAAAGTAAATAAGGTGTATTTTTACCATAGTGACCATAGTTGAAAGCAAATAAGGAGTATTTTTGTCTCTATTCCTCCATTAACATCAAATCTGCCTCAAATGTTCCCAGAAAATGCAACGTTAGTCGTACCAAGACACACAGTTCCAGGTAAATTCCCAGTAGTTTAAATACTTCCTGTTTATGATGGTGGGCCAGAAAGGGTTGGTTTTCTTCTCCCCCCTCCTGCGTTTTTCCATCCCTTCAAGTAACCAGTTGGCATGTAAAGGGCATCTAATTATAGCAATTTTTACTTATCTTAGCATAAGAGCAAATGTACTCAAATTAAAAGTAGGACTTTTGGAAAAAAAAAAGGTTCAAGAATATGCTCTGAACTACAGATGTCAAACTCCAGTCCTGGAGGACCCCTGCAACCTTCAGATGGGGTTCTGCTGCACCACACCTGAAAGGAATAATTAGTTCATTGGCAAGGCCCTGGAGAACTGATCTACACAAGGAGGCGGAAATTAAGTCATGTACCAAGCACAGAAAAGCTGACAGTATCTAAACAGCTAAAAACTGCAGGACAGTGGCTCTTGAGGACCGGCGTTTGACACCCCTGCTCTAAACCAGTGGTCCCCAATCCTGGTCCTCAAGGCCCACTGCCCTGTATATTTTAGGCGTTTCCCTGCTGCCGCACACCTGCGTTAAATGAACAGATTATTAAGGAGCTTCTGCAGCAATTGCAGAAATGCAAAAGAGGCAATGCAATCACATGAATCAGCTGTGCTGGAGTCTGGATTCATCAAAAACATGCAGGACAGCGGCCCCTGAGGACTGAGGTTGGGGACCTACAATAGCATGAACTGATACAGGGGCTAACTTTTTTAAATGTATTTTATTAATATCTTTTTCAGCCTTCATATTTTTTAAGGACTGCATTTACATTGCTTTAGCTCTGTTTCCTGTTTGTCATTTTTTTGTGATTATTCCTCATTGTGCCATTTCTGTGATTGGCTTTAGGCCCTGCGTGTTTCGATGGAAGAGCAGCGACAGCGGCAGGAGGAAGAGGCCCGCAGAGCTGCTGCTGCTTCTGCTAATGAGGCTGGCGGCTCCACACCCACTGCAGACGGTAGCTTCAAGTGTTCTTGGATGTTTGCTAGAATTGACCCGATTGTTATAAAACAGCAGGAAATGATGGGTTTTCTTTGCTATTGTTTTGACAGAGTCGGAGGACGCCTTGTTAAAGATGTCAGTCTCTCAGCCTGAGAGCATTGCCGCAGTGCTTCCTGATTTCAGCAGCATGACAGAAGAAGAACAGATAGCCTACGCCATGCAGATGTCTCTAGCTGGAGAAGGTGGGTTTCATTCCTTCTACAAGTTTATACTTCATTCTGCTCTTGGTATGTTGAATAATTGTTTTCTTGTGAACAGAGTATGGTGAGATGGAAACGGGAGCACCAATGGACGCTGCAGAATTAGCCAAGGTCAGTCTTTGTCAGACTCTGTGCAGTTTGTTTTAGTAAAAGAGAAGTTGGAATATAAGAACAACTTAAGGCTTCAGCTAAATGTGTTTTCAGACAACAGTTTTTTTTAACAGAGCGATGCATTTTCGACTTGTGGCCTCCATCAGGGATGGAACTGTTGGAGGCCACAAGCTGAAAGTCCTTGGAACTGGGTAAAGATGTGCCAATGATTTCATAACTACGCCATGGAAGTCATCATCTCAGCAGCTAAAGGATATTTAGCTGCTGAGTACTCCTCTTTCTGCATCTGATATCTTTGGTTGCCTAGCAACACCTTCTCATGTATCATGCGCAGCAGCCGTTTCATGTTTCGCCGCCAAGCCTTTTAACTGCTTGTAAATAGAACGCCGTGGAATAAAGAGAGAAACGGCTTAAGAGGTAGTATTTCAGATATTTAAAACAAAAAAAACCAATCTATTATTATGGATATTGACTGATACGTAACACTGATATCATGGTATGTTTCTCAGCCATATCATCTTCTGCTGGAAAATTTGGTTTGAGTATTTTTCAGGTCTAAATAATTATGAAAAAATAATTGTATTTCCAGAATGTATTCCCTGTCCTATTATCTAAATCTGCATCTATTCATCTCTATCTGTTAACCCATTCATCAAGCCATCCTCTCACTTTCTTCCTCTTTGTGGCTTTTTGAAATTATAATTTCAGAGTAAGCCATTAAACTCATTCTTGTAAAATAATTTCCCTTCATGATCAATAAAGTATTATTGAATTGTATTGAAAAGAGACCACACTGTATATATGTGGAATTTGAACTGTCACAAATTAATTTAAAAATGTAATCTATTAATAAGAAATTATTTTCCCAATATGACCCAAGAGGTAAACGAGGTTGTGATATCATGAAGGAATATTTTAAATTCAGTTTAAAAAAATCACAGGTAAACTTTGTCTTTTTTAAAGGAGGAGGATGACTATGATGTAATGCAAGATCCAGAGTTCCTTCAGAGTGTCTTGGAGAATCTGCCTGGAGTCGATCCCAACAACGAGGCCATCCGCAACGCAATGGGCTCCCTGGCCTCCCAGACTGGCAACAAGCAAGACAGCAAAAAAGATGAAGAGAAGAAGAAATGAGACGACCAAACAAAAAGAAAAATGAACAGTTTAAGGATTTCTTTACACATGTGAATGCCGATGCTCTCTGCATTGCAGCACTCTGTCATTTTAAACTCCTTCAAAACACCAAATAAAAATTAAAAAAATCAGTATTAATTTGACAGCATAAATTTTCCTGAAGTACAATTTGATTAAATTACAAAATATTAGGCTCATTTGTTACTTTGAACACTTCACATTTTTCTTGTGTTTAATAACCAATTCATTATTAATTATAGCTGTAGGCTATACAGTTATTCTCCTGGCCTGTGTGTTTTTTGCAATAAAAGTCAGGTTTAAATGCCTCATTTTCCTATTCATGCCTTATAGGACTCGTTTCTGGCATCACAGAAAAACTCAAAAACAGATTAAATCACAGAAAATTATCAGAATAGTTCTAAAAATAGGGCTTCTTAGTTTCACGGTGTGCTTTTTTCAAATAATCTGTATAATAAAAGTAAAACAAACGTGTCGTTTGCGGCAGCATCCTTGCAATTTTCCCAAGGCTGGCTTGATGGGATGCGTGTGGTCACGTGATGGGAAGCGCACAGTGGTGGAAATTGCAGCGCTCTTCCTTGATTCGAATCTTTTGGCTCCATGTCGACGGGCGTCCCGTTCAGACTTTGAACCGCTCTGCATTACAATATCTAGGGAAAATTATGAAAGTCACTATACTACACTTTCAAAGTAAGCATGACTAATATTGTGTATTACAAAACTGCAATTTAAAATGAGTAGTAATGGTGGAAAACTTTAGAATTCTTTAATTGTTCATGTATTGTTTAAATTTGTTTATAGATCTATTTAAAAATATATTTTACCCTTTAACATTATAATTTGAGAAAAAGTTAGAACACATTACCTCCTAATAGCTAATCTAAGCCTTTCTGATTAAAATAAACTCATGATTCTCATTTTAGCCATACTAGTTGGAGGAAAATTTTCCCTTGTCAACTTTAAAATGTGTGAGGAGTTTCTTGCATATGCTCCATGTTTGAAGTCACCCCACTGCATCTTCATTTTCCATGCAAACAGACCCGCCACCAATTCTGTGCTTTAGAGTATATGGTTCTTTTTCTTCAATGAAATTAAATACAAAAAAGAGAAAGAAATCTTACTTTTGAGCAGTGTTTTGATACCTTATAACAAAACAGGGAAAAAACGAAAAATTCAGTTTTGTATGAAGCGAGCATCTAATTAAAGCTTGAGTTAAATGAGTGAGAACAGCACAGCATTTATTCTGACGGCTCCTGTCGTTCATCCACAAGTCTCGGCAGACAGAGGCGGCTCCGTCACCAACAGCACACCGTCAGAAGCGCAGCATATTCTGCTGAAAACGAGCTAGGATAGTCGGGAATCGCACATCCAGGTAAACAATCCATAATACATCAAATATTAAAGAAAAATCCCCATCCCTGCCATCATTTTCTCTGTCACCGTCGACCCCTTGAGCAGCGGACTCTGGCCGCTGTCAGACCCGACGCCAGCGGACCGCTCCTGTTGCTTTTAACGGCGGTGGCTAGCTCGTTAGCTCGATGACCCCTCTCCGTCTTGGCTGGAGCTCAGCGGCCAGCAGCCGCAGACGGAAGGTACCGTCGTTAGCTTAAAATAGCGGAGCCCGCTGCTACAGAAACGCTGTTTCAAAACGAACCGCCACAAATACGGTCACTGTTTTTAAACCCGAGCGTGGTCGTGAAAGCGTGATTAAATCGGCGTTGCCCCATTCATGGTTTAAAGGAGCGGAGCCTGTCACCGGAGGAGGGTTTGCTTGCAGAGACGCCGCCGCTAGCACTCGCCTAGCCGGCTAGTCAGCGCTAGTGCAGGACACTGAAACACCCATCCAACCTGCTTCAGCTTGGCAGGTCATGTTTAACAAATAATGCATGCGAGACATATCTAGCAAATAACCGACAGGTTTAAAGGTATTATTATGTCTAAATATCACAGTAAACATGCATTAAGCCGTTTGCAGCCAGACAGCTTAGGCTCATTGTCAATATCCCAGCTTTTGCTCCCAGATCTGTTTATTATTACATGTTGCTTATTCGGACGGGAAGATAAATATTTGTACCTTATTTGTCATAATGGTAAATTTTTCTGCAGAAACACAAAAAATGAAATTATATTGAACAGAGGGGATCAGATTCATACCCCAGTCACCTGTCAGATAGGAAACAATGAAATGCATTGAAGTTTGTGCTTGTAAGGTGACAGAAAAAGTAAAAGGGGTGTGAACACAAAAAAAAGCAATTATAATATTATGGCAGATTTATTTGTTTCACAGTTGAATAGATTTGTATGATGTTTATTTGCAAGTATGAAAATAAACAGTAGCTAAGTAACTTTTTAATATCTGTATTGGGGCCTCACAATTTATTATCTTTATTTACCACGAAGAACTGTTTGAAATGCAATATGTGTGTATTATATTCCAAGATTTGCATGCATATGACATTGTGAGCATGTTTGATTTAGACTCAATGCAGCAGTTTCCTGTATCTGACACAGCCCAAGATGCTGAAAGACTCAAAACTGAATCAGAAATGTTCAACTGACAGATGTCAGATGAATACAATTTTGCAGAAATTCTACGACAAAGACGCAAGTTTGAGCTTCGATTTAATACTTCTTAAGCGTCATTATTTGCTCCATTCACTTAAATACAGAACCGTCTCTTTTATCCATCTTAATTAAATAGATCAAAACTGAAATGTTGCCTGTTTTTCTGTCAGCTCATGGAGACGCAGCATGTTTTTTTTTTTTGCTGCACTTTGATTTGAGGTTAGTGAAACCAGTTGGAGGAGACAGGCTTATGCTTTGATGCACAGATTGAGAAATTTTTGTACTTCTTAATTTTCAGTTGAATTCAGAGCTATCAAACCTGCTGCTAATGATCAAATTAGAGCAAAGTTTACAGGAATTTGCTTTTATATATTGTAGGGATGAAGCTATCGATTACTTTTGTAATCAAATGTTCTGACGATTAGTAGAATAAAGGGGAAAAAATCTTAATTTTCAAAAGATTTTCATTTTAATTAAGATAATTTTATACAGGATCAAAAATACAACAATAAATAATTAAGACATTTTATTAACCAAAATGCAATAACAGTATTTATTAGTGCATGATTGATCATTTGTGGTAAAAGATGCCTCTGCAGCTAAAAAACTCAGGCCTTTCTGCTTGACTTAAGATTGATAAAGTGTTGAGCTATTCTGTTTATTAATTTGTTTATTATTATTGAATAGGAGATTTAATTAATTTTTTTTTATGAATCTGAACCAGGTGAAGATAAATTTGCCACTTGCGGAGTTCTGGATATAAGATACCTAAAGAAAAGTTTTTTTTTTATCTTGTATGAAAAAAACTTTGTTCATCTTTGGCTTAATTAATGCCCGGAGTAAATTTGTTGTTTCAGAAAATGGCCATTCGTTTTGAATCTGTATATTATCACGATTATTTTATTACTAAATTAGTTGATTATTTCAGTAAGTAGTTAATCACAATCGTTTCAGTCTTACTATATTGTATTCCTTTTGAAAAACATGTAATGAAGAAGGAAACTAAGCAGAAAATTAAAATCGTCCAATGAAAGCCTGATCACTGAATTCTTCGTTTTTCCAGATGAATACTTATGTTTCTGTATTTTCTAATGTTCCAGGAGTGGATCCCGTTATGGGGGACATGAAGACCCCAGATTTTGATGACCTATTGGCAGCGTTTGATATCCCTGACATCGATGCCAAAGAGGCCATACAGTCTGCGCCGGATGAGGCCGAGGGCCCCCATGGACCGGCCGGTGCGCCCCTGGGAAAGCAGGAAGGCGTGGTGGGTGTTGGGTCCTCCCTGAGGCCGCCCAGTCCCTCAGACCCCCAGGCGGACACTTCCATCGTGAGCGTGATCGTGAAGAACAAAGTCCGGCATGAAGCTGTAGACGGCGGGGATGGAGATGCGGAGCAGCACCCCATCGATGTGATCGCTGGGGCGGATGCCGGTCCCCGACTCGGCGCCTGCGCCGAATCTGAAGCGCTCAATCACAACGGTTTTGGAGCTTCCGGTGTTTCCATGCCTCTTTCCCTTGGGCAAAACCAGTCCAATGGAGGGCCGTGGTCTGTGAACACTCCCAAAGCGTCCGCAGAAGCAGCCGGCGCCAGTACAGCCAAACCTCACAAGCAGGGCGGGAACATTTTCAACAGACTCAAACCTCTGGTGGCGCAGGGGTCTGGAGATCCGGTGGGTCGAGCCAGGAAAATGCAGCTCCTCCAGCAGCAGCACCAGCAGCAGGACACGGGCCAAGAGAGGGCGGATGCCGTCAAAGCCTCGCTTCCTTCATCTTCCTCCGTGTCGGCCGGGTCGTCCTCTCCCGCCGGACTCGCCTTGCCGTTCTTTCCGCCGTCCAAGCCTCTGCTTTCAGCTCCTCCTTCTGCACCTTCATCGCAGTCGCTACTCTCGTCTCAGCCTTTTAACGGTGCCCCTAAAGGCGGAGCTGGTGGATTCCAGCACCAGGTGGAGGAAGACGATTCCGACCCAGATTTGGGGAGTCCTCTCATAATCCAGGAGAACCCAGACTCGCCGACTATCGCGCAGATGAGCAGGCGATATAAGTCTGATTCTCTTTTGTCACAGCCTGCATCGTCCGCCGCGTCCCAACCAAAACCTGGGGACACCCCTTCTGCGTCTGCTCCACAGTCCGGCTCAGTGGAGACTCCACAGGTGGAGGAGAGACATCCAGAACATGTAATAGAGGAGAGAGATTCACCTGAGAGCCCGGAGCCAGAGATGCCAAATTCAGCCGCTCAGGTCCCTGCAAAGCGGTGCTCCAGCCCCGCCGTGGCGTCCACTCCGCCTCCCCCTGAGCTGCGGGTGCCTAAAGAGGAAGAGGAAGAGATGGAGGTGGGAAACGGCATCGATAAGGTCACGGATGGCAAATCGGACAAGGGAGAAAATATGGAGGTGGATGATGGAAAAGCTAAACCGTCTTCCACTGATGGAGGAGAAACAGAAAGTGCTGCTCCTGCTCCCCCCGGAGCTCCATCCCGGCCACTCAAAGTCAGGATAAAAACCATTAAAACCTCCACAGGTGGGATTACCAGGACTGTGACCAGGGTGGCGTCAAAAGGCGGTGGAAAAGGCTTGGACCCAAAAGGTCAAACTGGGGAACACAGGCTTTTATCAAACAAAACGCAAAAGGCAGACGTTTCCCCTGGCCTCATGACAACGTCTTCCCAAAAAGTAAGTGCTCTGAATGCTCTACCTGTTTCTACACTTGCAGCTAGCAGCGTCATGCTCGCCGCTGCCACAAAGGTTCAAAACAAGATGGCTTCTTCGGACAAGGCCAAGGTTTCGGCCACGGCTGTCAGCATCACCAAGTCCGCCGCTCTGCCGGCGACGCCCGCGGTGGCTTCCTCCCCCAAGTTCTCTGTCGCTGCCAGCGGGATAAGCGTTCGCACAGCCGCCAACAAAACAGCCAATGGAGGCAGTGGCACAATCTCGGGCAACGCCATCCAGCCAAACAAGCCCGCCTCAATAGTCAACAGCACTGGCGCCGTCATCTCCCGCAGCCAGTCGAGTCTGGTGGAGGCTTTCAACAAAATCCTAAACAGCAAAAACCTCCTGCCAAGCTACAAGCCCGACCTCTCTGCCCCTCCGCCACCCGAGTGGGGGCTCCCCGTGCCCGCCACGGGTTACCGCTGCCTTGAGTGTGGAGACGCATTCGCTCTGGAGCGCAGCCTGGCACGGCACTACGACCGGCGGTCACTCCGCATAGAGGTCACCTGCAACCACTGTGCCAAGAGGCTGGCCTTCTTCAACAAGTGCAGCCTGCTGCTGCACGCCAGGGAGCACAAGGAGCGTGGCCTGGTGATGCAATGCTCGCATCTGGTCATGAGGCCCGTCACTGTGGAGCAGATGATTGGCCAGCAGGATATAACGCCGATTGGTGGTAAGTTGATTTGCATAAACACTCGCACTACATTACAGCTACAAATGTTGATAAAACCTCCATTAAATGCATTAAATTTTTTGTATTTAATAGAGGTTAAATGCAATACTTTTTACTCCTAATGTAAAAAGTGAACAATTAGTTTACTTACGATCAATTGTCAATTAATGGTATCAGATTAAAAAAAGAGCTGGTAGAATTTCCAAAAATTTTACTTAAGCATATCACTACTTCAGCTTATTTTCACTCAATTAAAAGGGAAAATTAGGCTCCAAAGAAATTACACAAGACTTAAAAAGTCTGGTCAAGTACTGAGTAGGCATCGATCTTTTAAAATCTAACACTCACATCATTACATGGACTGCTTCAACATATTTCTGAAGTAAAAGTAAAACCGTATATGGTAAAAAAGTCTATTGAAATATTCAGTAACTGATCAAATTATTAATCGTTTTATATTAAAACATTTACATTATCAGACTCACCAAAATATAAAGTTAAGTGGAATTTTTGGTATTTCAAGGACCAAAATGACAATAAATAGTGAAAGTGACAAAAAATAACAAATCAGTCAAGAAGAATGTTCCAAATCATTTTCTGTCAATAAAAAACATAAAAAATGCAACAAAAAATGCATTTGTTTGTCTTTTTCTGATGAATTTTTGGTTAGAACATGTTACTTTAACCAAAAATCACACTTTATTATGATAACTCATAATAAAGTTACTCAAATAAAATTAAAAACGTATTGCATAGTAAAAATACTTTTAAGAGTTAATTTTTTCCAAAAAGTCACTCAAGTAAATATAACTGAGTAAATGTAGCTAGTTACTACACAACTCTGATTAAAATAACTTCCTCTCGATTAGCTAATGAGGTCAGCTGGCGAGATCGTTTTATTGTTGCAGTTTGGCCGCCATCCAGCAGAGGGCGCTGCTGGTCATCCTCAAGCTGAGCCGTTGATGCAGAATTAAAGATAGCGGCCATATTGGAACAGGAAAGAGATGCGGACCAAACAGCCCGGGACGGGAAGCAAAATGCACTTTATGCGGTTGTTTTTAAAATTTAAACACTCGACACATTCCTTAAGTTCACGCGGAGAAGCATCAGCTTTTCAACCAAAAATTACTGATGTGCTACGGAGGCAAGGACAGATGTAACAAGCTGAAAACGGCTGATGTTGGTAGTTTTAACATTCCTTCAACAGCAGGCAGTACTTCTACATTGATATCTATGTTTATAGGGAATTAAGTCTTTACATATTTTATTCATTTAATCTTTTATTCAGCAACAAAACGTTCTCGTTTTGTTATATTTTACAGGTATAAGTTTCATAATGTGAGAAAACCACCATTTTCTGTTTGTCCAGTCAGCATTTAATACAGATTACTGATTTTAAGAAAATGGCCGTTTATCAGTCTGTCAGCTCAGTTAGTTGATGGGTAAAATCAATCAACTTTAGATTGATTAATTTGCATCCAGGTTTGGAACTTGACACAGCTCGTAATGGTTGTGAATCACAACTATGCATGCATCTTTTTTCTTTTTATCTATCTTCGCTGACCTCCACCTGTTTGTGCTGCTCGGTGTCCACCGTCTGGCTATCCAGGCCTGCTCACTTCTTCGTCCTCTCCTCCAGTCTCCTCTCCCTCTGCCACATCAGGGGGTGCTGCTGTCCCCGCTGGCTCTAGTCCCATGAAGGACGCCTCGTCCCCAGCGGCAGCAGGTCCGAGTCGACCCGTCCGCCGTGCTCCTCAGGGGCCTCAGGCCTTGATGCCGCTCCCCTGCAAGAAGGCTGAGGGGCTGCAGTACAACAACTTCAAGTGTCCAGAGTGTCAAACGCAATTCTCCAGCAAGGCGGAGCTGGTCACTCACTTCCAGCAGATCAGGGGTGCTCCCAGCTCGGTGAGGATCAGACCCGTATCCTGCTTAGGACGGTTCATATAAAACATCAACGGACACTGAATGTTTTCCCCAAAATATTTGTTTTTGCAGACCTGCAGCCAGTGCTCGCCTCCCATGATGCTCCCCAACTCATGTGCCGTGTCCGCCCACCAGAGGATCCACAAACACAAAGCGCCGCACGTTTGTCCTGAGTGTGGTGGGACGGCGCGCCAGGCCAGCTTCCAGACCCACCTGGAGGAGGCGTGTCTGCACTTCGCCAGGCGCATCGGCTACAGGTGGGCAGGCATCTGTGTGAGGATGAAACCTCAGCTCTAATAACAGCAAGAGGGAAAAATATGAAGGATAACGTAGGACTATAGCGATTAATCGTGATTAATTGATTACAGAAATAATACTCAACTAAATTAGGAATCAATTATTTGCTATTGAGTATACAGACTCTAAAAAAGGTACATTTCTAAATGGATGACACACTTCATATCAGCAGTTTAGGCTTATATTGTTACTAATTAATTGTTGCTAATCATAATTAATTGTTACTAATTGTGATTAATGCCATCAATAGAATCACCCCATACGGCAGGTACAACAGGTGTAGTCAAGATGGTGTCTTTCTGCTCTTCCAGGTGCTCAAGCTGCCAGGTTGTGTTTGGAGGCCTGAACTCCATCAAGTCCCACATTCAGACAGCTCACTGCGAGGTCTTCCACAAGTGCCCCAGCTGCCCCATGGCTTTCAAGTCCTCCCCCAGCGCCCAGAACCACATCAGCACCCAGCACCCAACACTAACTGGAGGACAGGCCAAGTACGTCCCTCATCCTCCCATCCACAGGTCTTCTTTATTTGAATTTTAAGAGGACCAAATAGCTTTCCTCTCTCTTTACAGGATGATCTACAAGTGTGTGATGTGTGATACGGTTTTTACCCAGAAGCCCCTGCTGTACATGCACTTTGACACTCATTTAGCCAAGCAGAAAGTGCATGTGTTCAAGTGTCCCGACTGCACCAAGCTCTACGCCCAGAAGGGGTCCATGATGGAACACATCAAGGTGTGTGTTTGGACCAGAAGGGTTTCTGTCGTCGCCTTCATGTGTTGCCCATCCATTGCTCTCCACAATGAATGTGGTGTCAGAGAAGGCGAACATTAAACCTTGGGTCGGCCTTAGCAGGGTTCCTTCATGGTGACCCTGTCCTAAGTTCTACACCAAGAACATCACTGCACTGTTTGTTCAGCTTCAGTTCATTACCAGGGTTCTGCAGAACCCGATGACTGGCTGAGAAATTCATTCAGCCGTTTGGTTCCGACTGCCAGAGCAGGGCTGCAACTAGAATTTAAAGGGCCGGAGGCCCGGGTCCCTCGAGGAAAGAAGTGTGTCTGTGTGTAGAGCGCTGCTATAGATGTCTATTAGTTAAAATCGGTCCATTTGTCTGTCCATCCATCTAGACATTCGTCCATTTATCCATCCATTAGTTTGCCCATCATCCATCTATCCAACATTCCTACGGCCACCAATCTGTCCATCTGTCTGTCCATCCCTTCTTCCCTTCTTCCCATCTGTTTGCCTACCCATCCATCCTTTTGTCCATCCTTCCTTCCTTCTTTCCTTCCTTCCTTCCTTCCTCACCCTCTTTCTCTCCCCTTTTACCTTCAATCCATCTCTCCATCATCTGTCCATATATCCATTCCTCCATCAATTCATCCATCCTTTTGTGCATCAGTTCTTCCATTCATCCATCCATTCCTTCTTTCTTTCTTCCTCTCTCTGTCTCCCTGTTCTGTATTGTGAATCCTGTCTGCTGTAGAAGTATCCACCATTACAGAGTCATCTCTTCTCTCATGACGCATTCAAGTTCTGTGACCTTCTGGCCTGTAAAGTTTTCCTGTGGTTCTGCTCAGACGGCTCACAGAGGCCCATCAGCCAAACCCGAGTCTCAGCCCGACGCCTCCAACTCCTCCTCAGCTCCCACCAACTCCTCCAGTCCTTCCGGCCTCAAGTCGAAGTCCTCCGCGAAGCCCGACACCTCGGACGGCGAGGACTGGGGGCGGGAACAGGAGGAGGAAGACGAGGAGGAGGACGACGACGACGATGAAGGGGACGAGGACTACGAAGCCCCGGCGGGCCAGTCTTCTGGCAGCGCGGGGGTCGGCGGTCATTCCAGCGCCGTGAGCGAGTGGACCTGCCCTCAGTGTCAGACCACCTTCACCGACAACGAAGACTACCTGAGTCACGTGAAGATGGAGCACGGCAAGGTGACGTTCCAGACGCTCGAGCAAACGGGGCCACCTGAAGAACAACGTTGTTTATTCTGTTTCTGCTCCACAGTTTCCCTGTCGTATCTGCGGCGGGACGTTCAGCACTTCTTCCAGCCTGCGGCGTCACGAGCGAGTCATTCATGAGGGCAACAAAAGGATCTTCCATTGCCAGTGAGTCGCTTTCATCGATGACGGAAAACATTTCAGAGTAACGCAGTAAAACATAAATTAACAATCAATGGATCTCAATGAATTAGATTAACTTTAAAAGTTAATTTAATGCATCATTTTAATTCAAAAAGTTAAACTCTAAGTTATAATTTAAGATTTAGATTTTATTTTGATTATCCTGCAAATTATTAAATAGACTTTACTATTGAATAATATAAATAGCAACGTTTTTCTACCAGTTCTTCCTTCCACTGAACTTTTATTCAGTGCTCTTTAGCAGATGGGTTGACATGTATTAATCCAAGTGTAATAAATCTATTTGATCACTTTTTGAGTTGAATTTCTGAATTATCTTTCTAAGCATCTTCTGATTTACCTGTAGATTGTCTTTTTGTAGACGTCTTAAATTATCACCCTCAATTTGTAATTTATTTTAAAACTCTAAATTAGAGTTCAATTGTTGGATATTCAGATGACATATTGTGGCCCCTAGAGGGCAGTAGAAGCGCTTTCCATCTGTGTGTGACATTTTAATAAAAAGTTTTATATCTGTTCTGATGTGTTTATCCAGGTTTTGCACAGAAGGCAAAAGAACATTTGGTAGCCGGTTCTTGTTGGACAAACATATCCGACTCCATCACAGAACAACAGACGGACAAGTGAGTAAAAAATGTAATTTAAGGTTCAGGTCAGAGTTCTGCAGCACTGGCCATGTCTGGGTTTTCTGTTGCATGTGAGATTAATTCAAAATGCTTCTTCTGCTCCACAGGCGACTTGTGGGCAGAAATCAGTTAATTTAACTGGACTTGATTTCTGGTTCACATTCTAATAAAATAAAATGATCAAGCATCTTTTGCAGCCAATTATCAGTTAATCCCAAAAATTATTTTGATGCCAAAAAAATCTTGGCGCAGATTTTTTTAATTTAACCACTCAAGCCTTTGTTGTGGAATATTTGCTATAAACTAGTAGAAGCAAATTGAAAATTATCCAGTTCTTAAGAAAATAAGCATCATGCAGAAACATAAGGCGTTGAATTGGTGACAAAAATCTTTGAAAAACAAAAATTAAATTGATTTGCTTCCCATTTGTGGGGATAAATGTGTCTGTCTGAGCCCTCATGTTGTTGTTTTGAGCACCAAGTTCTCGCTTGGTTTGCGCTCAGGGTCCTCCTCTGACCAGGAAGCGAGCCGCTACAGGAGGAGACGGACCGGGCAGCTCCTCGGAGCTCGACGGCGAGGTCGGACCTCCTGCGAGCCGGGCAGCAGACGAGGAGGAGAGCGCCACAGAGGACGGCAGCGGCGGCGGCGTTGGCCCTGCAAAGAGAACCAGGGCGTCGGTGGCGTCCACGTCGTCGGCGCCTGGCGAGCTGGAGGACGAGGACAGCGTCTTCCGCTGCATCCCCTGCGGCTTCTCCACGGAGGACGGCGCCGAGTTCCAGCGCCACATCCCGCAGCACCGCGGCGACACCGCCGCCTTCCAGTGCCTGCAGTGCGGCGTCTGCTTCGCGTCGGCCGGCTCCCTCAGCAGGCACCGCTTCATCACCCACCGGGTGCGAGACACGCAGAGCGACACGGAACGCGGCGCCCCGCGTGCCCCTGGCTCGCCGAGCGCCTCCCCCGGCGCCGCCTCGCCGCTGGCACACTTGGAGGACGGCGATGGAAACCTGGGCTGCAAGGTGTGCGGGCGGCGCTTCGACAAGGCGACGGACCTCAACACGCACTTCAGGACCCACGGCATGGCCTTCCTCACCGCACACAAGACGGACAAGCCCCAGTAGGGGGCGCAGCGCGGAGGCGGCTGCAGAACATGAATGTTGATAAAACACCTTTTTTAGCTCACAGAAACATTTTACTCTCTACGGCGCCTCCTCTATGCGACTGTAGCTGCATGTTTGATCTTGTCACACCTGTGCTAGTCTCGTGAGAAGCTCTTCCTGGGTCAAAAGCCTTTGTACTGGACCCGAGTGAAGCTGGAGCTCCACCTTCATAAAGTTGAATGAAATTGGTGTAAAAAGTTTGTGCTGCTAAGATTTTTAAGATAACGTTTCCAGAGGACCTCAAAGGTCAATTTGCCCCCCTTTTATTTACGAAATATGGTGTCAATCAACCACTACATTTGTGTTGCAAAGAATTTCATTTGTTCTATTATAATTAAACATTTTTTTAAAACGTTTCCAGAGATCAAAAGTCAACATTTACAAAATCAAACAAAATCTGGTGTTAAACTCTTTGTCTGTGGAGCAAACAATGTTGTTTGTGCCGCCATTTCCAGATGTCATCAGAGGTCACCTGATTCCCCCACATTTTATTTTTGCCGTTATAATTTTCAAGGTTCAAAACAGAAAGTTACCAGAGGTCAAAAAGGTCAACCAGCCCCAGCCCAAATAGTTACGAAAAATAAATCTGGTATCAATCAGTTGTGCTGTTTGTGCAGCAAGAAATTCCGTGACATCATTTCAATACATTGTTTCCAGAGGTCAAAGGTCAACTGGCTCCCCCAACATGTTCAAAATCAAACAAAATACGGCGTAACGTTTTGCTGCAGTTGTGCAGCAACAACTTTCATTACAATTTTTAAAATAAAATAGAAAATAGTCGTTTCTAGAGGTCAAAGGTCAACCCACATTAAGAAAAAACAGTTGATTGACTCTTAATTTGCTTAATTAGACTTAAATGTGGGGTAGTCGGTTGACCTTCGGTGACCTTTGGAGCAAGTTCATATCTCTGACATAATAGCAGCACAAGCGAAAACGTTTTCGCTGCACAAACCAAAGTTTCGTTTGGCTCTACGGATGCGGGAGGCCGACTTCACTCAGGTTCTGTTTTCATCAGCCGTTTTCGCCGGTCCTCCCATTTCTTCCACTCTTCTTCACCGAATGCGTCCACGCATTTCGCCTGCACGCCATGCGGCCCGCCTCAAACTCCTCTCCCGTTCTTACGCCCGCCGCCTCCCGAGGCGCACGAGAGACACGAAGCATGAAGAGGAGCGTCCGGAGAAACTGACAGTTTTTTTTTCTTCTTTTTTATTTTATTTTATTTTTTTCTATGTTGCAATATTTATTTATAGTAAATACGTCACTGCTGTTTGAATCTTAGAGTCATGAGATGAAGAGGAAGTCTGCGACCCGGTTGGTGTGAATAATTTGTGATGTCGTTGATCGTTCAAGCTAGAAAAAGAAAGGCCAGACTTCCTGTCAGTAGTATCGGTGTACAAGTTGTTGCCATGTAAATACATACAAGTACACTAAGAAAGCATTCTGGTTTTAGTAACTTACTATAATAATGTGAATATGTGTAGTATTTGTACTTGTACTGTTCCACTCCCCCTCCTCAGACCGACTAAAGTTAAAAACCCTCCCAGAGTTAGTTACATGTTGAGAGAAGGTGTGTCGTCTTAACGTGTATGAAAACAAAAGGTTTCTATTTCAGGCGGTTCTTTTGTAACTACAGGATCAGTGCTTGCTGTGCCCACCTTTCTTTTCTATGTTCAAGCCCTCACAGTGACATGATGGAGGTCTATGAGTGGACTTTGTATCTTTTTTATATGTCATATCATATTTATATAGCTCTATAGTGGCAATTTCATGTCATTTTATTTCCCATGCTTGTGGTCTGCTTGCTGAAATGCCATACACTTCTGTGCTGTTTGGAAATAAATGTGGAAAATATCTAAAATGTGCAAAAGTTTCATCGAGGTCTCATTTAAAGTGGATTTTAAGTAGCGGGATATTTTCTGCGCTCATTTTGTGGCCAGCAAATACACATTTTCGGTTACATGGAAATAAATACACTAAATATACGGTTCGACAATTTCTTTGGAAATCAGATCTGTGAATTACTTCAAATCCAAGTTGAAAGAGTTCTTGTTCCGAGGTAGAAAACTAAATTTTTATGGCTCAGAAGAATATAACTCGATTAGTTCACATCTTTCTTGGCTGGTAGGAGCTGCGCTGCGTCAGTCGGTAATAAATCTGAACGACCAAAGATCATGTGGGGTTCCTCAAGGCTCAGTTCTTGGCCCACTTTCTCCATGATCTCAATGCTCAAATGAGAAAGTGATATCAGACTTCCTGAAAGACTTCAGACACGCTCAACACTGCATGTGTTCAAATCCCACTGGTTTCCCAGACCCCATCTAGAATGTGACATCGATCTCATATCCTGGTTCTGATTTAGTTTTTGAATTTCATTAAAGTTCAGAACTAAACAAACTGTTAGGTTACTCAGAAATGACAAATTAGGTTTATGACCGTCATTAAACAGCTGTAAAGGTTCTCCCAAGGTATCATAATGCTGATAGCTTGTTTGCCTGATAACAGACTTCCTCAATCGGATCCTTCAGTCGGTCAGCCTTGGTCTTTGGTAAAGCACAGTTTGACAGCTATGCAGACTTTCCACCGCTTGGTTTCACTCCCTCCAGCTCCACAGACGTTCCCTCTGTGGTTTTTCCCTCGGTGGTTTTTCCCTCGGTGGTTCCCTGACATGAAGGCTGATCCTCCGGACAGAGGGATGCATGGTGGGCTTCGACCAGCAGCTCATAGATCAGAGTTCCTACCAAACCCCCGACGCAGGGAGCGACTAACGGGACCCACCACCAGCCACGTCCGGCCCTGAAACACAAATATCGAGGGTTAACATTTGGGAGGACGTTTTAGAAATAATGACCAAAAAAATTTAAAAAAACCAACTTGAAAACTTCATCTCCCCAGCCAGCAATGTAAGTGAAGAAGCGAGGTCCAAAATCTCTGGCCGGGTTCAGGGCGTATCCGCTGTTTGAGCCCATGGAGACGCCGATAACCAGGACCGCGGCTCCGGCCAGGACGGGCTGCAGACAGTCGGGTATGGAGGTGTTCCTCTGGTCGCCCAGAGCCAGGATGCAGAGCAGCAGAGCAGCGGTTCCGATCACCTGCGAGAAACCCAGTGGGCTAAGCGTAAATACGCTTACATACGTTTTATTTTACATCATTTTCCATCCTACAGAAAAAAATAAAAATCAATATTTGCAATATTTTATGTTTATCTTTACTTTGAATCCAAAAAACAGTAATAAAATGGTGGTTCTTCAAAAAAAAAATTACAACACATTTCTTAGAGTAAATATAACATTTGAGGCTGTAACTTAAACTTTTATTTGTATTTTTTAATAGTGCTAAATGGCTCTTTAGGTTATAATGCTTATTCTATTTTTTGGGAGTCTGGACTTTATTGAAGTTTCAAATTTTACTTAGTGTTACTTAAAAGGTTGCAGATCTCTAACCTAATCCGATTTCCTACCCTGGATGGATTTTATCTGTTCATCTAATCTGGTCCAAGTTGTAAAATACTAAATCCTTTAACAACAGGGTGGACCATAAGTTCCCACACGTATAAAAAATAAACATTTAATACTGGACAACCGTTTTTATTTATATCATGTTGTGTCTTCATCGGTGGCTCTACGTTGTTTACCACTTTCTGGTTGATCTGCAACATGTTCAGTTTTCTGAAACTTGCAGATAAGTTTTGCTACATTTGATGCTCGTTCCATATTTTCTGTTAAATTTCCTTGCAGCCATGCGACTGCCTCCTGATCCAGCTATCAGTATAATTTCAATTCTTTGCTCTTTTGTCAAACGCATCTCCTATCTGGAATATCAAAAATATTCCAGATACATTCTCCTGTGTCTGGACCCTCATGACCCTCCCTGCGTTTTGGTTGCAGGTCTTTGCTTTGGTAGTTCTTGGCTGTGTTGCTGCAGTTAAATATGAATTTCTCATGTCTTCCAGATGAAACAGTAACTCTACCTGACCTGGTCCAACAAGCCTCCCCCCAAACTGAGGTATTCAGCCGGATAAGTGCTGAATATTCCTGCTGTGGCTGAAGGACCCGTCACCGTCAGCTGACCCCCGCTGTAACTCTGGATGGCGTCTGCAAACATTTTATTCCCTCAGTTTTCATGCACAGCTGTGAACAACATGGACTTAAAATTTGTAAGGCTGGACAAAAAAAAAATGTCAACTTTATATTTTATATACCGAATTTGAATTTGATCTCCAATTTCTGTAACATTTTTCTCACTTTTTCAAAAAGAAATTAGAAAGTGAAGGAAAATATTTTCAAAAACTGGCTTTTATTTCAATCGTTTCTAATCTGAATTGACCTGAAATCAAATTTTAAATAGTTAGAGGCTGTGAAACACACTTGTAATTCTTGGACGAACTGACATCACATGTGGAAACCAAAGAAGTAAATTGTTGGAAAAAAAAAAAAAAGAAGAAAATCCAGATTTTTGTAAAAGTGAATACAACTGATTAATTGATTCACCACCATCCTGGTCTTTATTTGAAGCATTCAGCCAGTAAATAAATGGAAGAAATGTTTTCACATCTTAATGATGTGAAGATTTATTTTAAATGATTTCCATGAATGAATGTAGAAACTCAGAGCAGCAGGATCTGCTTTAATAATAACCAAACGTTTATGAATTATTTTCATAAAGTCCGTGACAGTATGGAGGGCTGATGGTGCCTGTACATGGTGCGCCCAACCCAGCGATTTAATGTTTTGCATGCAGACTCACCGTGGTACTGCAGACCGACTGTGGCTGCACCCAGAAAGGCTCCAAGCACTTGGAAGAAAGTGTAGAAAGGAAGTTTCATCCATGGATGTCGGCCCAAAACGCACAAACTCAGCGTCACTGCAGGATTCAGGTGAGCCCCTTTGGGAACAAACAAATAATCTGATTTACCAAAACACATTCTGCATCTGCTCAACGTCAGAGTTACAATAAATGATGTTTTAATGTATAGTCTTCATTATGTCAATCCTGTAGGCAGGAAAACATGAGCGTTCATATTGAATTTTGATTTATAAGCAGCAACTAGTTACTTTTACTCACATTTACTTGAGTAGTTTTTTTTTTTTTGGAAAAAATGTAAGAGTACTTTTTACTCTTAAATTAAACTCTCACTTATATTTCTGGATTCTCTACTCACTGTGAGAAACTTCACTGAATGTTGAACCAAAAATATTTTACTGACTCCTGCAACTTTTGTTGAAGTTTTACATTGAAAGAAATGGATTTGTAAAAATGTTTCTATTTAGTAATTATGTTATTTGTATAAATTAGTTTCATTTTGACGTATAAAATAGCTAAATTTCCACTGATGTCTGATGATGCAATTGAATTACTGATCTGTTACTCAGTAAACTTTATACCAAATGCTCTTTTTATTTTAGTAAAAATATGCTGAGTGAATGTTTTTGCTCTCCTCTGCATCTTCTATTGTTTGTGCATTCAATAAATTAAATTAAAGAATCGTACCTGAGATTCCACGGGACACAAAGACCCCGAACGTCACCCCCAAAGCAAAGCCGAGGTTGATCGACAGATACTGGCCGTTTCTTTCTCGAGACGTCGTCACCTGAGCAACGGTGCCACATCCAAACAGCTGCAAACACACGGAGACTTTTCTGAGCTGTGGACACGAGTTTCTATTTTAAGCAGACGAGTAAAAACATTGAGATCGGACACTGAGATTTTATGGACTTCACTTCTGATTAACCTGCTTTATGGTCTGTGCTGTAAATGTTCATTGCTCTAGAAGGAGAGACACTCATTAGGGGTAAAACAACATGAACACACCTCGTCTCTCAAACTGTCCCCGTTTTTGATTTGAAAAAAAAAAAAAAAAAAAAGGGGGCAAAGTCAAACTTTTCTGCAACACGAAGCAGTTTAGCGTTTCATTCATGAGTTTTACTCACAATCAGGACGTAAACGCCGAGGCATTCAGCCAGGCATTCCCTGACCAGAGGGTTTCTGATCCGGCACCTCCTCAGCAGCCTCTCCATCCTGCTGACGACCTCTGACCCCAAGGTGAGCTCTCCGAGACGCTGCGGTCAGGTGCGTGTGATCTGCACGGCTCTGCTCCTTCTGCCTCACTGAGCACAGTTTGCCCTCTGATGCTGGACTTCAGGGCTTACGTCACAAGGTTTATTGCAACGCCGAGGAGTTTTTTTTTTTTTTTTTTTGTCAGCAGAGGAGAGAAGATTATTTGATCTGACATCCTGAGAGCAGAATCAAAGCAGCAGGAAGGATTCACTGGATCTCTGAGCTAAAAGCTGATAGAAATTAGTTGATTTCAGCTCCTTTCTGATTGGTTATTTCCACTCATTCAATTTCTTTCCCCTTTTTATGAAAAAAAAAAAAGTATTAAACTGTTAAAATATTTTATAATGTTTTAGACAGTAACTGTCTGAAATACTGTAATTCCACCTAAATACATTGAGGTCAAAAATATTTGTTTATTTAGCTTTGCAATTTTTGACCTTCCCAAATACAGGAAAGAAAACAAAAACCTAATTCTTAAAAAAAAAAAAAAGTAGATCTGTTATATATATATATATATATATATATATATATATATATATATCCTGTTTATTTATAAGGACTTGCAGATGTAAACAAAATTTTAAAAAATTCTACAGTCATAATCAAATATTTTTTAATTTAAAGACTGAAATTTTTTTTAACTCACAATAATTATTCCACATCTGAATCTCTCTAACTTAAGTGCAATTACTTTTACTCTTCATCCTGACCTCCAGTGTTTTAAATTAATGATTCTCTCATGATTTAATTTCTTTAATTTCACTTTTGTATTCACGTCTGAAGGCTTTAATTATAAAGTTTGTACATAACTTTTTTCTCAGATCATTTCTTGCCAAAAGACACAAACTGACCAATGGTATTCATTTATTTAAAATGTTTTATTTTATTAAAATGTCGACTGCTTAGAATTTTTGTCTTACCCTGGGACAAAAAAACCAGCATTTTTTTGTCCCACTTTCCCAAATTTGAAAGTTTAAGAACAAAGAATAAAATTCAACACAATAAATAATATTCGTTATTGGAAAACCCGTCTCCAAACTTCCAGATGTTTAAATGTCAAACGATTAAAATGCAAATACAAGTTTAAATTCTTTCTTAAGATTTTGTATTTCAAATGTTTTTTATTCCAGACTGCATCATTTCGTCAAAGAAGAAGGAGAGTTTAATGGTGGTGTAAATATATTAAGTCTTTATTTGATTCTTTTTCACATTTCTTCCATTCACTCTGCCTTTTTTACAAAAATAAAACATTTAACTGGATTGTTTGTTCTTGATGCGACCAGTTTGAATTTCCTGTTTAAACCAAAGACTTTGTGTCAAACACACGTCCTCCCTTTAAAAACCAAAAACCAAACGGAGGACGATACTTTCGTTTATTTCTTATTTAAATCCTCCGAAGAACTGAGAGAATAACGAGTCGTCGTCCCGCAGGTCTGAGAAACGATTCGAATCTCCTGGAAAAACAAAACAAAAGAGGTGCTGTTTATTTATTCCTTTAGCTCAATGAACCCAGCCTGGAGCACAGCTGACCTGGGAGTACCGGTCCGGGCTGCCGGTCCGGTCCATCCAGCCTGTCCGGACCCCCTGAGCGGCTCACGGTGGTCTTCTGGTTGCCGTGTCCGTCTCTGACCGTTCGCTGCTCCTCTACAGTCTGAGAGGAAAGCAGGAGAACGTTTACGCCCATCCTCTGGCTTTTTCCACTTTCAGAACTAGATTTGATATTTTCAGAGACGTATTTTCTTTCCAACCATCATGTTGGAAATAAAATTTTACTTGAACATAAAACAAAGTCAACTTTTAAACAAGAATAAGAGTTAATTTTAACAGTCTATTGTTGCTTCACTGCATATGAAAATGTTTAAGCTTAAATATTATTTATTACAGCTGCAAAACTGAATTTTACGTTAATTTTTAAACGGCTTTTTAACTCTTTCTTTCAGCTGATTAGTTTCTTTTTGAAGTTTTTCAGCTGTCATAGGATTTATTTAAATTATTTATTATTTCTGCAGGTCAGGTAGCAACCAGGCCTGTGGGATTGAGTTCAGCTTTCTAAAAACAAACGACGTAATCCCAGTTAATTCATGACTTAACAGATGCTTTGTCACATAGAGCCAGGTCGATTTGGGTAGATTTTTTTTCTCTAATGAATGAAATCATCATTTGAAAACTGCTTTTTGTATTTACCTTGTTAATCTTTGTCTAATATTAAAATGTGTTTGATGTTCTGAAACATTTACAACTCATAGAAAAAACAAAAATAGATCAAATCCGCGAGCAGAAACGCTTTTCTGCAGCATAGATAATCCCAAATCCCAAACTCAAATTGACACAGTGGACTTTTAGGTGGTTTTTAAGCAGGAATATAAAAGTTTACAATGAATTTCATGCAATTCTTCAAATTTGTGGAGCTTTAAAGATGCAAGTTGTGAAAAACTTTGGAAGGAAAAATGTTTTTTTGAAAACACAAAAATAAATAAAATCTGGAAATAGAGACATTATGTTAGAATCGTGAGAAAAGAACATTATTACTATTAAATAACTGAACATGTAAGTGTAAAAAATATTTATATTAATAGAAAATATGAATAAGTACACACTTTTTTTTTTAAAGTTTGTGTATTTTGATGGAAGGATGTTTAGAAAGAGCTCACCCCATCAGGTTTCACCACCTTGGTGACGACGACTGACTGGAAGAAAGACCGGCTCTGGGGTCCGCTGGGCTCCTGACCGACAGGCGGAGTCAGGATCTGATCCAAGCCGCCTGACGACACGGCAGAGTCCAGATCTGGACGGAAAAATTGGCAAAAAATTACAATACAACAAAAAAAACGATGCAATCCAAATCAAAAACACGCCCTACCGCTGTCTTCTTTAGCCTCTTGGCCAGGAGTTCTCTGTGGCGCCTCACCCCAGAAATCATTGAACTATTTGGAGACAGTAAGAAAATCTCAGAGTCTTGGTTGAATGTGAGCCGAAAAAGCAGTGAACTCTGTCATGTACCTTAGAGAAAGGGCTCCAGCCATCAAAAGGCGACGACTCAAGTGAAGGTCGGCGCTCCGGGTGCGGCCGTCGGTCGGTGCCGTCGGGTGATTTGAGCATAAAGTCTCTGAGAGGATTCCCGCTGCTCTCCGATCTGCCCTGAGGTGGAGACGGAGGCAGGATTCTGGGAACGCCTGAAATATAAAGCAGAGAAGAAAAAACAAGTTTATTTGTATTTATTAAAGGTTATATGATGGTGGACAAGATGGACCTGCAGAAGACAGTGAAAGAGACGGAAATAAAACGCAGGATTTACGATGCCCCATTTATCTAGCTTTGCCTGATGGGAGTCATCCAGTGACTTTTCATGTTTTCAGGTTAAATATGTTTAAAGTTGAGAGGAAATTTGAAAATATCACTAGGTAATTATGTGCTATTGGAAGACATATTCAGCAATACCTAAATGGGCTTCAGTGAAGTGGACTCTTTATTTTTTCCAGAACTTTTATGTTTCAGACATTTCTCATTGGGAGACTCTGAGGCAGAGCAGGAATCCGTCTGCTGGAGATGTTTCCCAGAAAGACCTCACAACCCGGATGACAGACATGTTGGTTCTGTTTCCGTACCAAAGTGTCCCGACTCCGGATGTCCCTCCCAACGGCCCAGCTGGGAGAAGATCTCCTCCATCTCCCTGAGGACGTGGCCGAACACAGCCGGCTCCTGGAACCTCATCCCGTCTGGACCCAAGTTGAAGCCAAACCTCCAGGCTCTGTCCAACGGGTCCTGCTGGTCCCACCTGAATCCATCGTAGTAGAATCCTTCTTCCTCATCGTCCTCGTCGTCATCATCATGTGTCATTGCATCAAAGAAGGGGTCCCTAAAAAGACAAAGAGATTAATGTTCCTGCAGCCGCTACTACTGAACAACAAGTTCATTATTTGTTAGGGTGGAGATCACACATTTTTTAATTTGAACTAAGTACCCAGTAATAAATAGCAACCTAAAGTTCACTTACAAATATACCACTACAACATTTTACAAGAGCAACATGTCCATAAAACAGACATGTTTGTTTATTATGACTTGACCTTCTCAGCTTATGTCATTTATTTTGTTTCTATTAATGGTTTTTACATTGCAACTGTCCTGCAGAGTGACTGTTATTGAAAGAAAACAATTTTAAAAAAACACTTAAGTGTTGCTATTTGCATGATTTTCCTTCTGAATTGATTTTGCCTCTCCAAGAGGTAGTCACTTGTGCATCATTTTTTTCTACCACTAAACTTTCCAGTTCAGTGACTGTACTAATGAATTAATATAATAAACAACATTTATTCATTAAAGTTTTATTTTGTTTCGTACTAATTCAAGAAATGTTCTTAAAGTATTTAGATTTATTGAAATGTACTGCAGAATATAGACAAGTACTATTGTTTTTTCCTGGCTCAGATGAGGCTTGCTTTTCTGATTTAAAATATTGAACCACTTTTCTGATCAAAAGCCACCGCCAGCTGCTCACTGGGGGCTGCGAACCCCTAAAGGTCAGAACCGAGAACCGCCCCTGGCACAGACCCATCAGCAGTGACCTCAACAGATCAGGAGTCTCGACGCTAAAATGAGTAGCAGCCCAGTGAGATCAGGGACCCCTGTTGTTTTCCTGGCAGAAATAAAACCACTAATCTTGTCCTGGACGGCGCTGGCTCGTTACCTAACAGCGGCTAACTTCTACTTTCTGATTTAGTTTTGAAAAAAACAAGAAAAACAAACTGACCTTCTTCCTCGGAAGTGTCCTCCCGGGACCCCGAAGAACCCGCGGAATAAATCAAAAACACTCATTTACTCACAGCTCGAGCAGGAAGCTGTTAAATCATAACTAGAAGTATGAACTGCAACCGAATAGAAGCGTCAGTGCTGCTGCAAATGTCAACAGACGTAAAGTGCCGTAAAGCGCTCTGGAATGTTCCGCACGCATGACGCAATATGTCGCAAAGAGAGCTTTACCGTAAAGTCGGGAAAAGACGCGCACTTTATTCAATTATGTGGACTCGCCGTAGTAATCAGGATAATTACTCCAGGAGAAATGATGTGACTGAAACACATACCGACATATCCACTAATTATTCCAATACAACAAACACTCTTTAGTTATAAATGAGTTGGGATTTGTAGATAAAAAGGGATTCAGATTAATTTACGGCATCAATATTTCCCAGAAACGAAATGTGATAAAATAGCAAACATATTTATAAAGTATTTGTATATATATTCTGGCTGACATTGAAACATTAAATTTTTTTGTTGGGAAAATTTCACCTTTAAGAGAATGTTTTTCAGAACTGTTTCCCACAGTAAAACTCTTCCAAGAAAACAAGAAAGAAAACAGACATTTCTCAAATGTGAAATAAAAATAATTATTCAGATATTTTGACCAAAATGTTCCCAAATAGATGCAGATAACTGAAAAATTATTCCTACTTTTGGCATCTTTGGTTAAAGTTTCAAAAGTGCAGCCGTACAAAATACAAAAGGCAATGTTTACCTCCTGCATGCTATTTTCTGCTTAACTGTGTATAAATCAGCATATAATCTTACATCATTTGAGTAAGAAATTTCAATTAAATGTCTTTAAATCCAGCGGTATTGAAAAAAAAAAACTAAAAACATCAACCTTGACTTTTGGAAGTGATTGATTTTCTTATATCAAAATAAGTTTATCAAATTAGAAAAGAGGAAAAACTTCAGTTCAAAAGTTGTTTTTAGCAGATCTTGTTATCTTCATACCAAGATGTAAATTTGGTCAAATTAAAAAAATAATAATAATGAAGAATTTTCCATGGTTGACAGGTGTGGTCTACGCTGAGGTCACCAGGTCACGCAGGTCAGAGCCACAAGTAAACAAGGTAGACGGAGCGTGGCAATTACTCCTGCAATAACATGATTAATTATTTTCTAAAGACTAAATGAATGTTTCCAGTACTTTTAGGTAGGTACGAAGGAAACAGATTGATCAGTTTTGGTCAGTTAGACCAATCAATAAAGTCTGAAATTCAAGCATTCAACCATTTTAGCAAGATATGAAACGTACTTACTTACATTTTGTACTTATCCAGGTTGAGAAAGATCCGTAACTTTCTGATTTATTGACACCAACTTGGATCAAAGCGTTGAAAGTTTCAGCTGCCAGAAGAAAAGTTACATTCACACACCACAAAAATCTGTTTATTAAAAGACATTAGCATCCAAAATGATGAAAATGTCTTTGTTTATTTACTTAATATTTATATATTTTTACAAAATAAAAAAAATGGAACAAAAGAAGCTAACAAGTCCGCGAGAATTTGCGAAAAACAAAAAAAGAAAGCCAATGACAAACAAGGACTACAGTACTTGTGTTTTTCTTTATATATGTACAAGACAATTTTATCCATTTAAATCTTTTGTTTTAAAACGCACAGTACAAAAAGAAGAAAGAAAAAAAAAATAAACCACTGACAAAAAGAAAAGCCATAGCACAACTCTGTCCATCAGTACTCAATGGTTCCTTGCGTCTGGAGGGGGCAGGTGGTGAAGCGGAGAGGAGGCCGTGGAGGGCCTAAACTAAATAAAACTAAATAAAACACTTAAAAAACAAAAAGCGGCTCGGGTGCGAGTCATGGGAAAAATTATTCAACATTTTTCAAAAGAAGAGGGACCTCACGCAGCGTCGTTCTAAACTCATGGGAACGGTAACTGTACAAGCGTTGGATAATGAAAAACTCCTGTGCTAGGCGAAAAAACGAAGCACAGTACACCAACACGGCCCCCTGTGTGTACAAACATGCACGCAGTCACATGACAAACACACCTTCCTCACAGTTCAAGCCAGTGAGCTCACTTATATGTCTTTATATATAATAATATATCTATATTTGGTAAAAAATAAACTTCACAACTCTACCAATTAAGAGAATTGTTTCTTCAAACTTAAAAAGAAAAAAGGGAGGAGGAAAAAACAAAAACATTCAACAGCAATTGTTTTTTTGTTTGTTTTTTTTTTTATATTTTGTGTTGGAAGATTAAATAGGAGGTGAGTTGAGGGTGAGAAATAGAAAACCAGCCTGCCTCCCCCTCCCAACCGCCTTCAGATTTGACTTCGTTCAGCTAAGAAAAAAGGTGGGAAATAAAAGTGAAATACAGGAAAAGTTCATTCTTTTAGAAAACAGTTCTATGTTACATGTAAGTTAAAGAAACAAACAAACAAAAACAAAAAAAAGGGCGTGGAGAGCAGAATGAGGGGGGGGATTATCATGATACAAATTCCCAACACTCAACATTTCACCTCCTAATTTTTATAACCATTTTCAGCTCCAACCTTTAGGCCCCTCCTGGCACGGCGCCTCCTCTGGCTGCAGTCGGGACTGCAGGGAGCGGCTGGGCCAAGAGGCGGGAGGGAAACCTCTGCAGGAGGAAGAGGGAGCTTCACATGTGGACACGGTTTTGCAAGAGTGATGAGCCGTAACCCCGCCTCAGGAGGAGGCGCAGGAGGTCCCGTCGGCGGATGTTAGTTCCCGCCCCAGTTGTAGCTGTTGTACGCCGACTTGTTTATCTGAGATTTCTGCTGAATGGAGGCGTTCTGGCTGCGCTGTCCGGTGCCGCTCTGCCAAGAGATAACGGATCGTCAACAGGGTTCAGATAGGGAATAAAGACTCAAACGTCTTTAAATGGTTCTCATTTTCATTGGGATTGCTAACTGATGCAGTGTTGCCAGATTGGGCTGCTTTTAAACACATTTAGTTGAAAAACCAGAACAGATTTCAGAGGAAAGTTTTTTGTATGTGCTGCCCTTATCTTTTTAGTTAATTTATTACAAAATCTCTGGAATCTGTCGAATGATCAGTCATTGGATAAGTGTCACCATACAGAAGTATATTGTAGAACGGAAAAACTCAAGTCTCTGTGTTCAATAGTCAGGTCCCAAAGAATTCTGGTTCTGGTTGTCAGAGTAAAATAAACAACAACCAAAAATGTTACCTGAATCCAGTGGATGAACACAAGATATTTTTAGTTTTGAGGTTGAGATTTCAGCTGGTTTTTGAGCTGGAATCAGTCAAACCTGGCAACCCTTTAAGGGACGCAGAGATTTTATGCTTTTTCCACAGTGAAATTCAAGTATTTGAGAAAAAAATATGTTTGGGCCTTTTCATTAACTATAAAGACCTGGATTTAATTAAAAATAACACTTTGAAAAAAAATTTGACTTTTAATCAAATGTTAATTACATTTTATTCAGACTGCGCAGTTTGAATATCCTTCACTTTCCAAACCTTAAAAACAACAAAATGAAATGTAAGAATTTCAAGCACCAGTATGAACTCTGGGTGTTTTCCAAATTGTTTTCGACTGCAATATTATAAATCCTAATGGACACAAAACAGTAAAAATATGTTCTAATAGTGCGTCTTTTAAACGTCTAATTCTGGTTGTATTTTTCCTGCCAGGTCGTCTTCAGTGCTGCTGTATCCTTGAACATGTGGCGTGTCTACCTGGCCGTCTTGCTGCAGGTGGTGGTGCAGAATCTGAGAGTGGGGCTGTTGGTGCGGGGTCAGGATGTGCATGAAGGGGGCTGGAGCGTAGCCAGCGGCCGCCGGGGGGTTGATGGGCCCGCCGGTCCCCAGCGCCGAGGGGAGGCTGAAAGAAGCTGCTGGCGTCCCGGCGTGGAAACCCTGCTTCTCAAACGACTGCGGGAAGAAACCAAAAATTAGGAAAACATGAAATGTAAAAGCAAACAAAAATAAAAATCAAGGCACTGCTGCTCGACTGCACAGAGATTGATCATAACCGACAGCTACCTGTGTCTTCGTGTAAACAGATCCTGAAATATCCGGCACTCCTGTGTTGCTTGATGTCACAGAAACTCCTGCAGAAAGAGAGACATTACAAACTTTATCCAGAACTGAGTGACATCGTCTCCCATCAAAATAAATGACAATATGATCCTTCACATGTTTAAACAACAAGGATTTAAAGCGAAAATAACCTTAAATGGTGACAAATCCTCAGCATTTACATCTATGTTCTTATTCATAGATGATTTCAGCAGATTGTCCTCGTCAGAGACAAAGTAAGGAGGAACAAAAGTAAAGAAATTATGTCATAGTGAATAATCCTGTGATGTATTTGCAGCCATGTTTGCTCCAACTACACATTAGAAAACCGCTCACATCAACACTAAACGGGGTCAAAAAAACAACAAAAAAGTGAAACATCTTCAGGTCAGAAGCTCATTGATGCTAAAATATTTATGCCTTCAGTTCCACATGTTAGATAAAGAATATATGGAAAACAACAACAAAAAAGCTACTTGTTCCTGTGAATGCAGCCTCTGCAGAGCAATAAGTGCCTAAAAACAGCAACTAAAAGTTTTAACTTTTTTTGAAAATTCCAGCTCAAGACAAGAAAAAAAACCCCAAACATTTTGGTGAAAAAGGAAAAGCTGTTATTTCATTTATTATGTAAGGCTCAAGCAGAGTAGCTATCAGCAGTCACCATCTTACCTGCAGCAGATTTGAAAAACAGTTTAAATTATTATGAAGAAGATTAAGGCATTATTAGAAAATATGAACATTTTGAAAATGATAAATATTGTAAATTTTTTTGGTAGTGAAGCAAAAATACATTAAAATCAGCTTAAAAGAAACTTACTTCTGCATAGGCTGGTCCAATTAGCAATAAATTGTATTATAATCTAGAATTAAAAGGCTATTTTGTTGACAGAAGTCAAACAATCCATTTTATGTTTGGTTGTGTGTATTTTTTATTTCTACGTTATTTATTGTTTAGTGTTATATATATATATGTATGTGTGTGTGTGCTTCAATGACAAATACTTCATTAATAAGTTCATAATTCTAATTTCCAGCCATTGTTTCCATCCAGATTCAATGCATCTGGATTTTACAGGTGCAGA